CGATGTATGTTGAAAATTGCCATCGAGTTGCCCGGTTGCATGTTGAACTCTCAAAAATTCACCATTTTCAAATTTTTGTCGGTGTGATACAATTGCATCGTGAATATAAAGATGCTGTATAGTAGATAAGAGTGAGGTATTGGTTTAAATAGGATGCAGCCTGGACAGTGGACAGTCGGCGATGCAATTATTCTGACCGACTGAGATTGATAACGTACAAGATAAGCTGCTGCGCGCGACGGTGCGTGCGCGCACAACTACGGCGTTGACAGTTGCGTAACACAGTACGAATTTGTAAAATTTTACTGCTAGTCGCGAAGCTTATTCCCGTAATTTGTCCCAGGTTATGCCGAAAATATTCAGTGGTTTTGGTGCTGTTGACAGACTGGAAAGATTTCACCAAGTTAAGAAGGTAAATGTCGTTTTCTGGTTCAGATTATAAATATTATGGAGGGAGCCTGACTTAGTTCATGGACCATTTCATTGGTAATTTGGTTTGCAATACACGGGAAAACATTGTACAAAAACTGGAATTGTTATCAGCTTCGCCAGGTACTAGACGAATATTTCTAACCCTGTACTAAATATCATAAGACAGAATGTGCAAGATTTTCCTTCCGAGGGGTTGGTAGTGCATACTCGCAATTTATTAAGCAGCAATTTCAACATGACACGTTCTCAATTAACACACGCCAAAATGTAGCACCACACACACACTTACGCATATTTACACACAGTACCTGGGGGAAATAGAGGTGGGGCACCACTGAACGGCCCAGGAGGAGGAGGAGGAAGAGAAGGAGTCTGAGCTGCTTGAAGTACACTGGATAAGCTACTCTCCTCCACTACTACAGGGTCTATACCGTGATCATACTGGCACAGTCCTCCACGCAGACAGTAGCCTTTCTCGTCAAAATCACGACATCTTTCTTTACGCGCTGCAATGGAGTGTACGTGCGTTAATAAGAAGTGAAACTTGGTGTTTTTGAAATATGAGAGTTTGAAAATATGAGAGTTTGGAAATATGAGAGTTTGAATAGTTTCTTCTGCCTGGTGTACCACTGTCACATCCCCTGATACACGTGTAAATTAAGAAACCAGTACCTTTCCCGTTTCTCGGGGGAGAGTTACTCTTCTTTCTAGGACTCCTAGGCTGCCTGACTGGAGATCTAGATCTTCTGGTGGGTGGAGATCTAGATCTCTTGGGAGGGGAGGGGGAGCGGGACTGGTGTCTGTCTGGGGTGTACCTTCGTTTAGGGTATCCGACACGGTCACGTGTTATGTCACCACGGTCACGTGTTATCTCACGTGATGCGGGGTAACGGTCACGTGGTGCTTGCTCGTCTGATCTCCTGGGGTGGTTAGTTGAGAGACTAAGAGAAAAAGAAACTAGTGGGATGAAAAAAATTGAGATGGCAGCAGCTAAATTAAAATAACATCGTCTAGTTTATTCATTACACAGAGAACTTCCCACATTATATTCATTGATTGAAATAAATTTTCGTGCACATACAGAATGAATGGTTAATAATTTAATATATATGTAGACCAAGGTCTGTGCACGGGATGCTTCCTGGAAGAATCCAGTTCTTTTAGCGGGGCACCCTACCTAAAGCCAAATTGAGATATAATAATCATATTCCTAGAGAAATAATCAGAAATCGAATACCAATCAAATAATATGATATATAGGAGTAGTAACCATATTTACTATGCAAAATGCCCCAACCACATAGTGTAGATTTATATAGAATTCAAATTCCATATCATCATTAAACCTCAATAGTCAATATAATAGCCCAAGCAAAATTAAATAACTTCTTATATACCTTACTGTCATACTACAAATTAATTAAACATTTGAAATCTGTTAACCAGAGAATAAATTTCTAAACCTAATGCAAGTGAAATAATTTAGATGCAATAATGAATGCCTAATGTGAGTATCATCTGTCAATGTCCTTGTAAAAAAGTCTGTAAAAGAGATATGAGTAATTAATATAGAAGAAAAAACAGGAAGTTGTCGTCTGTTGAAAAATAAATAAAATATCTAGAATATAAATTAGAATATAAAATAACATTCAGTCAATGTGTCGTCAATAAACTGTACAATTATCAAATGTTAAAACTGGGTGATACAGTCACCAAAAATAAATACTAAGTATAATAAGTAAATAAATTAAATGTGGTCTATAAAACTACCACTAGGTATAATAGGTCAATAAATTAAAAGTGGTTTATAAAACTACCACTGTGCGAACCCTTTCTCCAGTTAAAACATGTCAGTCATGTGCAAAATCAATCAAAATGGTAAGGTGGTAAAAAAGGGAAAATCCTTTCGATACATCAATTATATATGCCTCAGATTTAAAAGAATTAGAAGATACTTAGTTATCGTAGACTATGATTGCAGTGTAAAATTTGTCATATGAATTGTCGACGGTATAATTAGGGTCTGTTGTTATAGATGAGAGTAGCTGTTTCTTATACGAATCACTAAAGCTTTTAACATCAGGCAGATTTCGTAGAAACACAGTAGTATAAACAAACACTACTATAACAAGAGGATATTTATTACTACGTACTTACATTAAATAAACAATATTATAGGTTGTGTGTACTTACGTTCTGTCTCCTCTATCAGTGAATCTTCTAACATCTCTCCTCTCTTCGTAAGATTCAGTGTTAAATCTCCTTGTTTCCTCTTCCCTTCCTCCGGGCCGACTGAACATTTGTTATCTTAACATTTGTTTAAATCTTAACATTTGTTCTCTCAACATTTAAACGGAGGTGCAGAAAATAACATGTTAAAATGCACGCATCAAGTGTGTGTTATCAAACATGGAAATTTCAGTGAAAAAGGTAATATAACCCAGTACAAAGTTCATTCTAACAATTAAATTTGGGACCCTACATTCTTATACATTATTATTATAATATACTGATTTTGAAGGATAGAGGACTTAATTTACGAAAATGTAAAACATCTCAGGAACTTAAAGATATGATTATAAAGTTAATGCCATTACAGTGCAACACTGCACTGCTAACAAGTGGGCTTAGTGAAGCACATCTCACTATGTGCATTCCTTCATTTTGCACGTGCACATACTTGTAGTGAAGCACAGTATTTTGCACGTGCACAATGCACATATTTGTGGTGAAGTACAGTATTTTGCACGTACACAATGCACATATTTGTGGTGAAGTACAGTATTTTGCACGTACACAGTGCACATATTTTTGGTGAAGCACAGTATTTTGCACGTGCACAATTCATATGTTTTTACTGAATATTACCTGCCACGTTTCCTCCTGTCTCTGTCCTCCTCAAAGCGTCTCTTTCTCGCGTTCATCTTATCATCCTCATCCGTATTCACATCTATTGATAATTCAACTAGTCTTTGCTCTGTCCCCTGTAATTAAACATTAATTGATTATTGAGATACTTTTAATTTTTAAGATAATTAATCGATCAAGCTGTTTTTGAAGCAAGACGATATATTATATGCTTACTATGTATATATAAATAACGTTGTGTTATTGTGCAAAACTATAACATGTATTCGACATGTGTATTGTCATTACCGCATCGTGATGAAAACAAATCAAACTAGAGTCAAATTTCACTGTCAAAATTGTCAATACAGTAGTGTTATGTAACACTATCTAATTATGTTCGTAATCAAAATGCAGATTATGAAATATTTCCATACAATTATTAATCATGTTAATGATACTGACTTTTAAATTATTAGATCGTTAATGCTATTCAATTCCAGAATAAGGATGAGAATAGCATAGATAAATATTGTACAATCAATATTAGTTAACTCAAATCAATACGAGTAGCACGTAATCATTATAATATGCAATGAAATTCAAGCACCAATTATTATCATTATATATTATATGTACATAAGTTTACCTTTTTTGTGTCAATGGATATCTTCCGTTCAGGTTTTGGATCATCCTTTGCTTTGACTTCTTTGACTTCGGTAAAAACTCTCTTTTTCTTAGGTGGCACTGGCATGTATTCTTTACTTTCGATCACGTCGTATAAATTTTTCACAAAACTCTCAGTTTCTGAAATGTATGTTGCTAAAATACCCAGAATGACAAGTAGTAACAAGATCATCTATTTTAAATACAAGTCAATCAGAATGGCATGGCTATCAATCATTACATCAATGAACAACTTGTCAAAATCAGATCGGATTTAAATTTTGAATGAGCATTTTTCCTTGAAATTGATTGCCTTTGAAGTAGGACCGAGTTCAGTTGAAGCTATTTGTTCAAATAACCAATTATCTTGAACTCGCTTCTAGCACCAAATCAAAGGAGCATTTTACATTCTTTTGAAAGATAATCTGAATTGTAACCTATGACAAGCGGACAAACCTTTATCTAGAAAAACCTCTAACTGTTCCACAAATGTGTCTTCATTGAACGCCTCGTCTTTTTTTAGCAAAGCTATCACATACTTCGCCAGGACGCTTGGATCTGCTTCCGAGCTAAGGGTAATAGAAGAATGAGTAATATAACAATGTTTGAGTGATTATTAAGGCGTATTAGCGACTTCGTTACTAGATCACATTATATTATATTTAAGCTCTGTTTTTTGTGAATTAGACCATAACTTTGAATAACTTTTAAATAGATATCAATTTTTGTAATTACAAAAATTGATATCTATTTAAAAGATAAACTCACATCATTTCCAGCTGAGTGACCAGCCATTGCTTTAGAAATTCAACCTCTTCAATAATCATCCTGAACTGTGGCAATTAATGGGTTAAGAAAGGAATAAAGCAGATTGCCGACTGGACTTACCATGAACAAACGGCACCAAATGAAAATTGTTATTGGATATGATGATTATGTTTAAGTGCGCTTACAAGATAACGGAATATTAAGGAAACATTATCTTTATAGTGTGTTTGAAGTCATTATCACAAGATACAGAAAAAATAATTATCAGAATTGATTTGAAACAACTGAAAGCTATAACAGAATAACTGTGCTGTGAATAACAACTTGATAAAATAAACTGAATGATAAAATTCATCTATTTATTTGCTATTATCCCACCCAACTACAAACAAGATTGAAGATTATAGAGCGAAAAGATATAAATATATGGCAATAAATTAGTATAGGATCAATAGAATAATTCATATAATGAACATAATTATCCAGAAATATATCTTCACATATATCTATATTACTCGTGAATAATATTTCATACAAACATAGCATAGTCAGCATATTAGAAAAACGATTATCCACTCGGGTAAACAAATTTCACATGAGACATTTCAGTCTCACCCCGCACGATTAAAATAAATTAACAAACGTTAGCTTCTCTAAATTTCACCCTACAGTTCACTCTAAACTACCCCTCATCTGACTTCTGAGCCATTTCTTTAGCTCTCTGAGAGTTCTCAAGTTTAATCTGCTGTACCCGGACCCAGTATCTGTAGTCTGTCAGGTCCTTGATTTTATCTCCATAATAATCATCACTAAACCCCACCTCTACTGAGTCTGTACATCTGTATAAGTTCAACCGACGCTGAAAATCGTCTTCTCTCTGAGAAGATTAGTGTGATTGTAATCGGTTTTTCGTAATTGTAATTGTTTTCGTAACTGAAATTGTAGTTGCAATTTATTGTGATTTACCTGATGAAAGTTTGCCTTTGTTTCAGAGCCCATAACTCTAAGATGAAAATTACGATATCCGAATGCAGTTATGATAACACAGGTAATACCAGATGCAAATGTCATACAGGTTCCAATGATCATTGGATCAATTCCTTCCATTCCCCTGAAACGACAAGAAGTAAGCATCTTTAAAACTATATGACACATTGTGTTAGAAGCGCAAATTGTCATAATTACCAGTAGTCATAGATAACCATTATTCGCCCCAAATAAGGAAATATCAGCAATCACCAGTTCCAGGAAACGTAAACCTCTCTTAAGTGTCTTTCACTTGATTTTGGTGCATGATGCAATGTTGACTGATAACTGCCAGTCAGTGGCGTAACTTAGGGCCCCGCAGACCCCGCTTGTGCGGGGGGGCGCCGTATAAGGGGGGCGCAATTTTCCTGAATTTTAGGCCCTTTGTATGTATTTCCCTGTCCAATTTAGCGTTCGGTCGACGCGAAAAAAATATTTGGGGTACCCTTTTTTGCTTCAAGGGGGCGCAAAAAGCCTTAGGGGGGGGCGAGAAAAAAAATTACCCAACCTTTTTTTTTTTTAATATTTTTTTTAGGGACACAAAAAATTTTAGGGGCGCTTTTCGTCACTGAGCGGGGGGGGGGGGGGGCGCCAACAGGCAAAGTTACGCCACTGCTGCCAGTAGCCATCACTGAGCAGGGTTTTAGTCTATTATGGATAGACATTAGACACCTCCCAGTGCAGATATGACGGCCACGGTGTTCTAGCTACTAATGAGCAGCATGTAATATCTATATTGTGTGAAACTATGTATTTAGGAAGGAGAGTTTTACTTACATAATTGTGAGAGGAGAGTCTGACATCAGCCAAGGAAAAAACCACATACTATTTGATGCAAACGTAAAGCACCCAAAAACATAGCCTCCTAGTAATGCAAAATATCGCGAGGTCTTTATTCTATTCTTTAGTTTGATATAGTCATTAAACTGAAGCTGAAAACTAGTCCGACAGGGAGAATATCTTGAACACAGTGTCTTTATTCGATTCTCGACTTCCTTGGGCACAGGCAGAGGGTGTGAAGAATTGTTGCTGTCTGCAGCAGAAGCCAGTGTAGTAAATAATCTCTCATGTCTTAGCTTCCTTAATGCCAACAGTCTCCTTGGTGCGTTGAGCAAACATATCATTATCAATGCTTGACTGAAACAAGATGATAGTTATAGAGAATGTATCTGAATAAAGCTGTGTCTTTATGATTTAATTAGCAAAGGCTCATTGTTATTTCCAATCCAATAAATAAATTGTCAGTTTAGGCTGATAGTTAACTGTTACGAAAAAATCGATAATCTTAAAATCACTGTCATTATACACCATACCAGCGAATATATTTCTTCCTATTTGAGAGTTAATCATAATTGGTTAACTCAAAAATGTACCTTGACAACATTTTGAATTAAAATTGAATTCAATCGATTAATAAAATTTGGCAACACCGATGACTGATAAATACTTCAGGTTGCCCAGTGGTTGGAGCTTCTTCCCTCAGTGCAGAAGGTGCAGAGTTCAAATTCTAGTGTCACCTAGTCTAGGGAGCAGCTAGAGATCTATCGGATCGATGAGAAATTACATAGGTGTAATGTCTCCTTGGTCAGAACAAGGTAAACCTGTAACGACCAACCTACATGAACACTCAAATGAAAGATAAATAAACGGTGACGTGGAAACATGCAATAGGAATTATGAAGTCCAAATGAAAGCTTGTATGCAACACAGTACAGGGGGATCGAATTCTATGAAACAACCGAATGAAAAGACAATATACACATAATATAACAATTACCCTATATAAAATTCAATATAAATTCAATAGAAAACCCTTGAACACCCTTTAAGTAGTATAAGTAAGCCAGTTTAAAGAACTGGCTCCAAATTTATATCTAATTCTGCTATTTTTACTGCACTACTACTTTTCAACCGAATGAAAAGTAAATGCATACTCTAAATTTAGCCGAAATACTATCCAACTATGACAAAATTTTGAGAACGTATGTGATGAAAGTGCACGAAGAAGGCACATTTTAGGCACTCTCACCCTGAACAATTATGCTCTAGGAAGTGTTTATCAGGTTTAAACAGCGGTGGACAGTACTGCAGCGAGTTGGATGGTTTTAACAACTCTGTATCTCTTGATAAATATTAAATATCGTGCGAGTTCTTATAAATCAAATCGCAGACTAAGCGTCAGATACAATATACAAAATGTCATGCATGACAACAATCAGATTACTTTTGACCCTACTTATAACGCTAATCTTTTCTGCGGCATGCTTCATTGTAGCGCGATGCACTACTGGGTCGCGCCGCGCATCAAATAATTCTTCTCGCAACCGGTAGATCGGCGAAATGCACCACTGTGCCTCACCGAGCTGCGAAGGATTGACATCGTGAATCAACATGCTTCAATAATTTAAATTCATCCAATGCAATATTGACACACGCTGTAACCCCTTTTGAGCGCGCGCGAAGCGCGCGCGGCCGGTCGGCCGCAAAAGGGGCACACCATCTAGGGAATCGTACTATTTGGCGGGACTCAGAATATGCCTCCCTATTAAGTGATTTGACCATATTCGGATGTAATTGCTTCAGATGAAGAGAAAGATGACGCGCGCGCGTAACCGAAACATTTTATTGCATAATTGATAACAAAATCTATTTATTTAACATTTTATCGTCAACAATTTCAATAATAATGTTCCTATTTCTTTTTAACACTTCATTGGAGTATTTTCAAATTTAAGAGGACAAAAAGTTTTTATTTTTATCAAAAATTGTGTAATTTGTTTCAATTTGTCAATAGTTAATCATTACGCCGCGCACTTCTTAAAACGAACATGTTAAGAAATATCTCCGCAAGCAGTTAGACTATCCACTATAAGGTAAACCGCTCTGCTCAATTCTTTTTGATACATGCAATTTTTATTGTTCAGCTACTATACATAGTGAAAATAATATGTGAATTTTTGTTTTTTGCTCCGTTTGTCGGAAACCCAAAGTTCTTTTATATTTTTGAATGATTAATCATCTGAGTCTCACGTTCTTGTTTGCCATGCATTCGTTTTCAAAACCCAACATTTGTAAGGCTTCATATGTAATTATAATTGTGTTGGTTTATTTTCAAACAGAGATTACAATTTCTCAATTTGCTAATGAGATTTTAGAGTTCAACCGAGCTTAAACATTTATATAAGTCGAGTTCCTCGAGCAACCAGACACTTTATGATTTAAAGCTGAAGTTACTTTTGACTCGTTTAAAGTTACTTTTGACTCGTTTAAAGTCAGTTTGTCAAAGTTTCTTGCTTTGATACCGGACAACCCTCCAATATCCGGTTATAGCTGTAGCTGGTCCAATTCCCTGGTAAACTACTCGCCATCGAGGTGGTCAGACATTTAATGATTCTTCCTGCTACGAGGATAAACTCTTACTAAAGTAAGTAATCATTGTCTGACATTCGTCACATTTGATATCCCGATAAATATTTCATTAAGTAATTTTATTTCTAATACCTTTGACTGTTAGGAAGACTCTTTTAATCCAGTTTTTATCACGTTAATCTCGTTATTCGTGACAAGAGTTGCACTAAAAAAGTATTTGTTGTTAGATGAAGATATGTAATATACAGGACCGAAGGTGTTTTGATAACTTTCGTGTTGACTGAACATAAATTATTCTAAATACTAATGGTTAACCTCTTTCTATCTACACGAAGAGCTGTAACTAGTTATCCAATTTCTTTCCTTATGTGTGTAGCCAAAATGACTGATTTTTGTAGATATCCCTACAAATAAGCATTTTATAAGTGTAGTCCCCTTGTAGTCCCCTTGTAGGCCCCTGCAGTCTACAGACATTATGCTTACGGTACCATGATCATTGTAAAATCGTCAGACCCCGTCATCCTATTGTTGTTTGCTTGTGTTTGGCGATCGGAAATTAACTCCTTGCCCTCATTGTCACACAATTAAATCAAATCACACTCGATACTTTAGTTCTTTAGTACGGCTATAAGTGTCAAAAAGTCACTATCTAAAATTAGTACGTGCCGATAAAACAATCGGAAATTAATTACCTAACGTTACCCACAGCTAGTATCAAAGGCCACTATCATCATCACAGGAAAAACGTCACGCTTGTATCAACTCATCGATTAATTAGTGGAATAACAGTAAGTAAAGTGGCGGAAGTATAAAAACGGCCCTCACCTTCAGAGAATTGCCTTCATTCAAAGTTGTGAAGTTCCTTCTCGAATCAGAAGACTTACCTACTATAGCTGATGTCTTTAAAGTTGTTTCCCTAAATTGACTCCCGAGTTCAAAGTCAATCCCAACAAAACACAGTGCATCGAGGACCGAGGTCTTAAATTAAAGTCCATTAACTACCAGATACCACCACCCCATTATCTGGTTGTTACATATTCATAAGTGGTTATATTGCTTCACCAACTTTATTCCGTAGTTAATCATTCGAAACCGAGGGGTTCCGTTCAGCCTTTCTGTATAGTTCTAATGTACCGTCACAACAGTGACCTTAATATATTATGTAAACACTAAAGATTGCATACCACTAACCACACCACAATCTACTTCCATACTCTACTTGCACACGTTTCAAATAGGGTCGCCCGCAAATTGCTTGGAATTTGCACTAATTAGATTCCAGTCTTGGCGGGAAATTTTAAGTAATAGTGTAATATATATAACTGATTCAATTTTACATTTTGATAGCTACACTGGATAGTGGATCCTCCAGGAGGGAAATATAACACGAGAATTTATTGGCCCATTCCTGTGAACAAGATGCACACACTTTCATCAAATGTTTCTTGTTACATTTTGTTAGTTTGGAGGAGCATCACGGCTCTCGACAGTCAAAGTACAGATACGAAATGAAACTAGGCAAATGTGATAACAGAAATGAAAATAATACGGACATATTGTGCACCTGACGTTTCGGCACTTACTGGCCTTTTACGAAGGATATAATTTAAAAGTGAGGGCAGTCCCGCTATATAAGAGGGGGACGTGTAATTAGGTCGTAAGCTAAATTAAACACGTTTTAGAGTGCAGGGATGAAAAGGCCCAATTAGGCAGACAGCAGATTGGAAAGTGATATTGTTAGATGATTAGTGTATAAGATCTAATTAAACATAGTGTATTAAACCCTGATACTCTGATAGGTAAAGTTAAAACACATTCAAGCTGGCATGCTACAGATTACTAGTAAAAGGTAAAAAGGAGGATACATCGCTACTCTGTAAACCCGTTACTCTGCATATTGTTAAGTTTAGGTTTATTGGTATTAATAAGCATTCCCTCATTGATAAAAGTTTCTAAAGTGTCTTTACATTTTCTTACGATATTGAAGTTGTAAAATTCTAAAAACTATATTTCGTTGCTCTCTTTTCGGTGCTCCGCTGCGTGTTGGCCTAGCGTAGTACGGCTGTTGTTCAGTCTAAAACTGCTTTCGTGCTCCTGGAGCCTGTTTTTCAGCGGTCTCCTTGAGGCTCCGATGTACTGGTCCCACATGTGTTGCAGTTTGCCTGGTAAACGAAGAGACTGGTGAAGCAGTCGTTTTCTGACTTGCAGAGCTCACAATCACATGTTTTCTTTGTTTTCTCACTGATAAGGCTTTTAACAGATCTGCCAGCTTGGGTCACGATTCTGGCGTTTATTCCCGCTTTCTTGACTGTGGAGCTAACTTTCCTGGTAAAGCCTTCGTTGATGTATGAAATCTTGAGGACGTAGTCGGGGGAGGGTGCTGTGGGTTTCTGACTGTCCGTTAGGTCCCTCTTTTCCATTTGCTCCATGGCCTGGAGCATGTGAGCCGTCACTAAATTTCTTACAGACATCTCAGCAGACCTAGGCGCCGACATATCCAAACCACCAATGAAACACCTCCTGAGTACTTACAGCACGGCCCCGGAATTATACCCCCAGGCTAAAGACCACAAGCCAACATTTCCCAACACCAAAGTGAGGGTCGTTCAACCTATAAACAACAACGCCGTAGAAAAGTTAGACATGATCGTCAGTAAGGTGCTCATCCAAATCAACCAACTCCTCCCCAATCGTGTGAAGAGCACAGACGAGTTCCTGCAAAAACTAAGAAGCTCATACCCCAACAACATGACGTCGAGAATATGTACCCCACACTCCC